AAGTTGTTATTACCTTGTTACAAAGTATGACGGTAACAGTGTTGCTACAAGTTGTTCCAACAAGACTAATACAGGCTGTTCATAACGAGTTGCTACGAGCTTGTTGTTATCAACTTGTAAACAACTTAGAACGTGGACAAAAAGGCGTTGATCTCACGTGGACAAAAAGTCCCTGATGAAAAAATGACATTCGTGCCAACATTGAAAGGTCAATGTTTTCTCTTAAATATTAATCGAAAATGTTTACCTCGCGCACGTGCTTTTAATATTCGCGCGCCATATCTCACGACATGTTTACCTGGGTGATTCTACAAATTTTTCCACGAGCATGTTATCATCATTAAATGATTTCATTGATTCTCTTCTGGCTGATTCCAACGCTTCATCAAATTCCTCCGCCTTCCAAACAGTTCTCATACCCTAATTCAGATGAATAATCGAAATCGGTAAAATGGTCATAACTTCCGTATTAAACCACAACTAAGGAAGCTTAGTATGTGAGCGCTATCTCATGTGAGGTTACCGGGTCCATTTAGGCATTAAAAATCATTATTATATACCAAGTGTCAAACTTCATGTTTTCTTGCAACTCATTGGACGAGAGCGTATCACGTGACAACAGCACTGACCGGTGGACATTACTTTTATTCACCTGTGAATAATAAAATCGTTGGTTTATAAAGCAAAAATTATGCAAGTTTCGCGTTTCTTTGTTTCTTTTTTGTTTTCTCTTTGACACTTGGAATATAATAATAAAAATACTTATTGACTGGGACTTTCGGGAAATAGAGTGTTCACAAAGGGACAAACCTACTGTTTACCTGCGTCCCAGTCAATGAGTGTTAAATATTCACTTTCAGTCGCATGGTTATAATCGATGAAATGCGTTTTGGTTCGCAGAATGCTAGAAAGTGTTCGATATCATAAAGATAGAGTAATAGTTGCGGACTAACAGATCGCGTTAGATCAATATATTACCTTTCCTCCTCCACCTCTCACAGCTTTTAACATCACTGGATATCTAGAAATGGACAATAGAAGGACATACCACATCATCTTGTGCTCAATATAGGCGAGTTTTACAATATCAGGGTTTTGGGCATCTCAGTGGGTAGTATAAATATTGGAGGTATCGAGTGAGATGCCCTTTAATTACATGAACTTGCGTTTAGAACTGTAGCTCAGTTGGTTGGAACGCTACACCAGAATCGCAGGGCCTCAGGTTCGAATCCTGCCAGAGGGGCAATACTCGAAGTTTTTGCAGCTGCTCTAGGCTGGCTATGTATAAAATTTACACTATATATTATATCTACAAAATCCCTCCAACATCGAGTTCTACAATACATTAGATGTTCCACGTACAACAGATATTTGGTTGTATTCTATATGGCAAACAGATAATGTGAATAATTCTGAAGCTGACTGCAATCCCATGTCACTTACAGAAACCTACCAACTGTTGGAAAAATATTACACCAACAAAATATCATGTTATAAACGAAAAGCAAAATTTTGCGAAAATAGAGATGAGAACGATATTCGTCTTCGAAATTTTTAGCAGCATTTAGTATAATCTTACCCAATCCTTTCAGCTTCTGATCTCAGTCTTTCATCTGATTGGTCTTCACCGTGGTAACCTTCGATTATCGGTACTCCGGCGTCACTCATTATTTTCTTGGATGTACTACATATATTGGGTGACAGAAATATGATCGGAAAAATTGCCTTTATTTGACTAGATGGGCAAAGATGTTCAATTACGAAGGTCCAATAAAGGGGAAAAAACAGGCCTTTTTAACATACAAGCTGCCCCCCCCATGAAATCACATCTTGCCCCTCCCCCCCAGGAAAAGTCCCTTTTCCCTAAAATTATTCAAACAAACCAGCGAAGATTAACAAATAGATAAACGGAAAGTAAGTTTTAGGCTTTATCCTTTGTCCAAATTTCAAAAATTTTCTGGGGATTATCCCTCCAATAAGTAATAAAAAATTACGGTTAATATTTTTTTTACTTTTTGTGCATTTTTTCCTTTATTTATTTCAAATACAAGTATAGTTAGCATAAATTTTGGAGCAAATTTGGATGCTCAGAATGCAGGAAATGACATTTCCGGGATTCAAATTTCACATTTCCGGGATTCAAATTTCAACCCCCCCCATTCATGCGTGGTATATTGGCCACACACGTGGCCTTCAGCCATTGCTATCCCCCTCTAATATATTATCTCACAGAAAGGTCCCTTTTCAAAAAATGCCCCCCCCCCCAATGGGAAAATTTAAGGAAAAAAGGCCCTGGGATGTTTCCACAATGTTTCCGCACTCTTGACAACATCGCTGCGGAAATGGAATTTCTTTTCAAGGACGCGAAAGGATTTCCTTGTTATTGAGAACTGTTTGGTTTTTAGTTAGGATGGGATTATCGTCTCCAAAACATCATTCTGATCAATGTATCTAGGTCTAGTTTTCGAATCAGGAACAATGTTTTCACGCAACAACGACTGCATGCAGCTGAACTTGTTCTTGTGTATTTGTACCTTTTTATCCCCATGTCTCTTATAGCAGAAGAGGGAGGTCCGACAAATATAACATTTTGTTGGAGACAAAGTTCAGCAAACTCTGGTCTTTCTGAAAGGAAACCGTATCCTGGATGTATTGCCTAAAAGTAAAGAAACAATTCTAAATGTGGTTAAACACGCATTTAAACGAAGTTAACGGTAGGTCTATCATGTTTTCCACGCCCTTTTCTCTTTTCAGTGCATTTAGGATATACACCAGATTCCCGCAATATTTTCTATTAATTTTTTGGATAACTTGGATGTGATCTATTGAAGAATTAATCTTTCGGGTTCTAGTCGAAAATTATTCACCTGAAAAAAACAACGGACGCACGGGCTAGATTCAAACCACGTATTCTAAGCAATTCTTACCCTGAACGTGAACCCTGAACGTGACGGATATAAAATCAAGTCAGGGTGTCAGCTACCGTAAAAAAATTGGCGTCTCCCAATTACATTTAACTACCAATTTCCCAAAATTTTAGATCTTCCAGAAACGTAATTATTACAAAAAATAAGATTGTTCAAAATTTCGCTCAAGAGAAATTGGGAACCAGATAAGTGTTGCAAAGATGTCATCTAGTCTAGTACGCGAAACACTATTGGTTGATTTCAAAGGTTTCAACGTAGCTCAGCCTCCCACAATTCACGAGACATTTCTTAACTCCGGTCTGAATATCGCAGGCTAACTAAATTTTCCATGCAATTTCATTCATTGCCGAATTTTTTCTGGCTATAACACCATGTAAGCTTGCTCACTTTAACATATAGCCAGACTCGTGGAACAAGGTGCCCACATAACTTACCTGCGCATTGCTCCGTTTAGCGACGTCAATGATTTTATCCATACTTAGATAACTGTCTCTTGCAGGTGCGGGACCAATGTGATAAGCTTCGTCTGCCTGAAATATGATTTAGTACGATTTGGAAGACAGATTACGAGAATAAATGGAAAAGTGCATTCTAAATGGAACCAGACCTGTAACCCAGGTTAGGACTCTACTGAAATGCCTCAACGAAAAAAATCATCAACGTTTGTAATCTGGGAGGCAGATCTAACTTCTGTCAATCTCCTTTTTATGTTTTTTATAAGTAATCTGGGCTTTGAATGATAATTTTTGCACAGAGCAAGGTAGACATGCAATATGATAAAAAATATTTCAAGTGCCTGCAATAATATAAGTGCACACCATTCCATAAAATACGCATGATTTCGTAGGAAATACTGTACAAGATGATTTTGCTCACCATCTTAACATGTTTAGCGTTCCTGTCTACATCACTGAACACAGCAACAGTTCTTATTCCCAGTTTTCTGGCAGTGTTCATCACTCGGCATGCAATCTCCCCTCGATTAGCAACCACGAGCTTATCAATGGATTTTCCTCCATTTTCTAGAAAACAATTAAGAGGCAATTTTTTTCAATGTCGCGTATTTGCAATGAAAAGTGTTCAAAACCTAAGATCTTTTTGGCGTTTCTCTCAAAATTACTTTGTTTTAGCTTTATTTTGTAGTTTACACAGTTAGCAACCTTTTTAAATCTATCTGGCTGTTGAGAAACATAAAATAATAGTAAAAAATTGTCAATTTAAATACAATTATCATTGATACTGTAAAATTGACGCCATATTTATACAGCAATATAAGCAAAACTTACTGAACTTCGGACATCATTTTCTCTTTGGCGAATTGGCGTACCATCTAAAATCTCTTCATTTTAGCATTATTTTACAGATATTGAAAGCACTAAACATACTTTTTAAGTTTGTTTGCCGCCTTGAGAAACGTATCAAAAATATAAAAAATTGAATATAGTAACAACCAAGTGGAAAAGCATATTCATTAGTCTTGAGCACGTATTACATTCATTAGTCTTGAGCACGTATTACATTCATTAGTCTTGAGCACGTATTACATTCATTAGTCTTGAGCACGTATTACATTCATTAGTCTTGGGCACTTATTACATTCATTAGTCTTGAGCACGTATTACATTCATTAGTCTTGAGCACGTATTACATTCATTAGTCTTGAGCACGTATTACATTCATTAGTCTTGAGCACGTATTACATTCATTAGTCTTGGGCACTTATTACATTCATTAGTCTTGAGCGCGTATTACATTCATTAGTCTTGAGCGCGTATTACATTCATTAGTCTTGAGCACGTATTACATTCATTAGTCTTGAGCACGTATTACATTCATTAGTCTTGAGCACGTATTACATTCATTAGTCTTGAGCGCGTATTACATTCATTAGTCTTGAGCACGTATTACATTCATTAGTCTTGAGCGCGTATTACATTCATTAGTCTTGAGCACGTATTACATGACATCAAAATATTCTCTTCTTACTAGCATTTGTACGTACTTATACTAGGATATATCGGATTTATAAGATAATTGAAGACATACAGAGCTAATGGGGCTTGAAAAACTATTAACCACCTTTTAACTCAAACCAATTCTGAGGGAGGCATTGGGGGTATTCAATACCGTAATACCGCAAGCAAATTTTGTCAATAACCGCAGTTTTTTAGTCCAAAATTGCAAATACCGTGTATCGCAAGATTTCCAATATCGTAATACCATATCTATGGTAATACCGCAATTTTTCAAGGAAAATACTGAAATACCGTAAGAAAAAAAAGCTAATACCGCCATACCGTAAATCCCAATGTCCCCCCCCCCCCCAATTCTACCTCTTAACTTTGTACTCTTGAAGTATAAATAATATTCTCTTCAATCATAATAAATAACTCTCTAATATCAAATTTCTATACTGTCATTGCCAGGTGCCCAGGTCTTCAAAATCTTATTCATTTCCATACAGTATTTGTTATCCTTATAGAAATTAATTCTTCTATGAGAAATAAATGCGAAGACAGCATGCAGAACTTATGATCATCACTACCTAAACTGGCACAAACCGTTCAAGGACAGCGTCGTCTTCAATGTTCTGACTAACGTATTCTTTTTTTATCAGTTGTACATATTATAGGTAAATATACGACTATGAGGTTGCACACATGACAGTTCTACTTGTATGGCTGTAGCCAGCTCAAAAAAATGGAGGCGGGGGGGGGGGGTCCAATCGTCAAATAGACAGAATTAGGGGGTGCAATCGGCAGGGGGCATGGTCCCCATGGAGTCCCAGGGCTCAAATTTTATCGCAGCAATTGCCGTAGAGGGAGAACAAAATGCCGTGGATCATTGCGGCAACGACAGCAATTTTTTTGCCGTATAGTGCAATTTTTATACTATTCACTGTGCATTACTACTTTGATACTTGAATTCTGATGTTGATCATTTTGAAGCATTAGAACTCGCTAAATTAGAGACAGTGTATATTCGTAGACAGACTCAAACAACTAACCTTTTTCAGCAAATTAGTAATAATCCAGAACATAAACTATATCGATTTTTACCGAAGTTAAATAAATGTAATTTTAAGCTTAGGAATACTCGTAAATTTCAAGTTCCTGTCTGTAAAACTAACAGACTTCAGAACAGCTTTTTTTATAGTAATTGTACATAGTTTAGTCGTACTTAGATCTTTTAATTGTATTTTTGATGTTATTGTAAATTCCTAATCTAATTCAGCTCAATTTTGGCTGTAAATCTTGGGATCATTAAACTATCTATCTATCTATCTATCTATCTATCTATCTCTCTCTCATCTAATAGTCTCAGTTTTCTTCGAAAAAAAAAAACACTAAAGAAATACGTAAACATGTTTCTAGCTTGTCAAAAATCCAAAGTAACAATAAAATTAAAGTTTTATTACAGTAATTTGAAAAATGCTGTGGAAACTGCCAAAATTGTCATAGACAGTAGAGGTGTGCGTCAGATCGGATTGACCTTTTTGAATCCGATGGTTTGTTTAAGTTCTCAATCCAAATCCGATCCGATCTGAAGATGAAAAAAGCAATCCGGTCCGATCTGATCCGAAAAAATGTTTATAAAGTCCGACCCGATGCCAAAATTCGTAATCCGATCCGATCCGAACTTAAGTTATTGTATACAACGTGCGTTAATTATTCGGTGTATGAACGTATTTTTTCATGACCATAAACAATATATTGGAAATAATGAATTTCCAGCAAAAATAAGCAGATATGAATTCGATAAAAATTGCAGGGCGATATCACATAATTATGCCTTATACAGTTATACTATAGCGTAGGAAAAAAACGACTAGTCACATAGTTATTATAACAATGCATGAGCTTGAGCTGGGTTTACATTTTAAAACATCTTAAAGTTTATCACTAATAAATCTCATTGTCAGTGCTTCGTGACACATAAACCAAACAAACTAAACAAAGAATCACAACATTCCTATATCCCAATTCCCATATGTAACTATTTAAGAAGAATCCACATAACGCCAGACTAGAGTTTCTTTTGTCAGAAATATATGTCAAAATAACTCAAAAGACTTCTTTACTTTATTGTCATCACTCGGCATTATATAGTATTACTCCGCTTCGACCAAATCACTCTGCTTATCCGGCTCCAAAGCCTTCCAGACACTTCCTGCTATAGAACTATCTTAATTTGTTAAAATATTCGAGTAATTCGACGCAATACAAAGAAAAAAAACAAATCCGATCTGATCAAAAACCTACAAAATCCAATCCGACAATAAAAAAAAGAAATCCGATCCGAGTGAATTACTGTCCGAATCCGAATCTGATCAGATCAGATTGGATCGGATCAGATTCGCACACCTTTAGTATGTACAGCTGTTATGTTCTACGGCAATTTTTAACGCCATTGCCGTTGATTGATTTCAGGGAAATTCGAGGCCTGCCATGGACCCCTTAGGGTCTTGGAAACACTATTTGATGCATTTTAGACACATTTTATGATAATCTGCAAGCAACAGATTTGGTATATTTTACGTCCTGGATGAAAGAATTATGAAGTTATGCTCCACTACCCCCAGTTTCTCCTCAGATTTGGAAGAATTACAAAATTGGCTCTATCATAGTCTGGCTATATCACTGGGAACTAGATCTAAACTAGACTCATAACAATTACATATTCATATCTCCAACTAACAATTATCATACCATTTGAGTCCAGTTGTTACAATTTTAACATATCCCTAATATTTACAAAATAATTTTGTAAAGCATTTTCAAAAGTAATTTATTGTAAAGTAATTTATAGTACTTGTTCAGTGCCTATGGATTATTGGCAATTTGGCAAGACACTTGTTAGTCCCCCCCCCCTGCCCGTCCTCCATAGCCCACTGTGTGAAAATTTGCAGCCCTTGAGCTTTGCAGGGATCAAATCCCTATGTTGACAGACCCTAACTATGCACACTATGTCTATAACAGATGGATATATATATTTTTTGATAATATATTCATTGTTTTAGAAATTAACGAAATAATTACAATACAATTATGATTGAACAATAGAAAATGTACAAACCAAAGGAGCTGTTAAATCGCAGAGTTTTCGTGAGATGCTTGCACATATAAACACTAAATAGGATTAAAATATACACATTAATACATGTTGGGTTGTTCAATGCTACATAAAACTAAGCAAAGTTGTGGTTCTCTGAGGTATTAACGTACTTTTTTAGAATACTTCTTAACTTTTGATCCTTCGCAATCGCCGCCATATTGAAACTGAGTAACCTCGCAATTGATATGCGATGCCGCTGAAAATTGAAAATGTTTTATTGTTTCTAAAAAATTTAATAAACGTTCGTTGTTTTAGTTCAGCTTTTGTCCTACTTTACAATAAACTCATTTAAAATACATGAAATTAGAAAGTTTCTCAGATATCAGATTTTTTGTCATTCTTTTATACCATTTAATCCGAACATTTTATATATAATGAATCATAAATATAAATCAATTATACGAGCCCGCGATTTCTCCATAGCAACGTCGATAGCAACCAAGCTATTAGAACATAATTTGGCAGGATAAAGTCAATAAAACTCTATAAAAAATGCTATAAAAGTATTTCCATGTATTCTCATGGACGAATACAGGTATAATAGTTTATTTAATGGTTTAAATTTTGTTTACATTCATGGTTTTGTATTAATCTGACATAATTTTGACACATTTTCTCAGTCATGGTCCAGTCCAAATGGTCGAAGCAGCCAGAACTATTGAAAGATGTTGGTGTTCATATAGAGATAAACAGATATTTAAATTGTTGAAATATGCAATATGTGCTGCGGTATGTATCTGGTTTGAGTGTATATTTATTGAGATGAATGAAGATTTATTAAAACAATTGCAATACAATAATTACTATTAATAAATTTAATAATATAAGCTACTAATAATAATAATAATAATAATAATTCAATTCCCATAGTTACATATTCAATTCAATAGTTACAATTATTCAATTACAATTATTCAATTACAATTCAATAGTTACAATTATTATTTAGTTATATTATTCAATAGTTACATATGCTACCTGCTGAAATTGTCAACTGTTTAAATAAGTTATTAAACAATATTGGAGTTCAATAGACATTATAGAGACAAAGACTCAATAAGTTATTAAATGGTATTGGAGTTCCACTGTGAGAGTTGAATATGTCACAGGTTGAAGGTGATTGATGCAGGCTTGCTTGACTTTATTGTTTGGCTACCTCGCACACACAGCAGTTGCGCTCTAAGCAGTAACACATCAACACAATCGTTTTCTTAGCCAGCTCATCACTATAGAGTGTGCCAAATTCTTCTTTACGGCAACCGTTTCTCCCAAAAGTGACAGCTAGGATATGATGAGTCTCTCCATGGGCGTACTGGAAGGAAAAAATTAGAGGGGGCGGAAAGAAATTTGCCCGACTTTTTCGGATTGTGCCCGACCAGTGCTGAAAAAGTTTTTTCCGGAACAAATTAATTTTGTCGCCAAAAAAATTTCGGTCAGTGTACCATTTTAGGGGTCCAAAATTTTTTCGGACATACCAAAATTTTTCGGAACATACAATTTTCCAGACATCATAAAATTGACCACAAAATTGACAGAATTTCCCACAAAATTGACAGAATTTGTCACATTTATTTTTATAATAAACCAATATTGCCCGACTGTGGAGCGAATATTGCCCGACTGGCTTTGTTTGCCCAACAAACTGGGGGGGCTGCCGCCCTACCCCCGCCCGGTACGCCCATGAGTCTCTCTCTGTGCCATGGTTTACCACAGTATAGTTTAATTAGTCCTTATGTTACGAAGGTTAACTCCAGTTCTTTTAACATCTGCACATTTTCGAGAAAATCGTACAAAATCTGCATATTTTTTATGAACTACCGTAATGATTTATTTTGTCTCTTACTGTCGTGTTGGGCCTAATTGCGAAAACAGGTAGAGAATTATTAAGAGAAAGCTCTGAAAATGCCATTTCAGATGATTTAGAGATGCCAACTATGCTTGACACCAACCATGGTGGCACCTTGTGGAGTTATATGCAACCATTCCCACATGTAACCGCGCTGCCATGCCATGATTTGTCATCAAAATGCTGACGCCATGGTCCTATAGCCATTGTGCTTATGAGGCCGGGGGCATGCACCCCCTGGACGTCTGCCATTTTAAATAGTTTCAGGGGGGTGAATGCCTCTCATAAGCGCAATGGTTAGGATCATGGTGTCAGCATTTTTATGACAAATTACAGCTACACCAAAAAATCATAGGCCTGGAATTAATAACCAAGAAGTCAGTGGCGTAGCCAGCCCGACAATTTGGTCATGCTAATGCAAATTTCAAATCATCATAAATTATTCATTTCTTTAGAAATTGATTGTTTTCATGGTTTATGAACACAAAAATATTTGCATAGCATGACCAAATTGTCGGACTGGCTACGCCAAGAAGTCATATATTTCTAATAATTAAATCAGTCTGTAAAATTGTACATTGTATTCCTTCACTGCTTAATTAATATATATATATATATATATATATATATATATATATATATATATATATATATATATATATATATATATATATATATATATATATATATATATATATATATATATATATATATATATATATATATATATATATATATATACACAATATACCCTAGTTGCAGAGGTTTATTTTAATTGCATACGGTATAATGTTTAATTAAGAAATGGAAAATGATGGGTCACACCACACCAATCAGTTTAATCATAATATCAACTGGTTATTGCTGCTTTAAAGCTTACTTTCCAGCTGTTATTAAGACCTTACCGATTATTCTCTTTTAAAACCCAATGGCCTTGTTTCCATGTTAACTTATTTTAGCATGTTAGGGCAGATAAAGATAATATATTCCCATGTTTTCCTGGACGAATTTGTTTCTAATGCTGTTCTAATAGGCTCATTGGCTCAATAACAAAGTAATTTTCAACCCTACTAAGCACAAAGCATGAGTAAGTATTTGACATGAAAACGAGGCCATTGTGTAAAAGACAATAATCAGTAAGGTCTATTGCAATGAAAATAAACCTCTGGAACCAGTGTACAGTGTACCTCAATGACAGATTGCTCAGCATTGCCATTATAAATTAGCTGGGTCATGTTGTGAGACAAGTGATTGCAAAACCAAGATTTTCCAAACAAACAAAGCCTCAGTCTGCCATTCATGCAAAAATGAGCTTTTAAAATGGTTGATGAGTAAACAAAAGAGTTTTAAAATGAGTAAACAAAAATAAAATGGCATGCATGATGATTGTTTTCAGCTGTTCCCAGATGTTAAGGGAAGCAGAAATTGTAAATAATGGACTTAATTATCCATTCATACAAAAGATCCGAATTTGCCATCTGATGGGCCAATTTCCAATAAAAATACCTAATATTGGAATTCCAAATGGATTTTGTTGTCCAAGAAATAACAGCCATTTAAAGGTGATGAGCCACAGGCCAGCTATAGTGTTCATGTCTTTTATATATTTTAAATCGATTGTATGACAGAATATAATAATACTTATTATGAATTTTAATTAATACTATGGGGATTGTAATATTATATATCTCTGCTATATAAAAGAGGTGAATACTTTAACTTACAGGAACATTCTCTGACCAAAGAAGTGATAAGAAAGATATCACCAACGGAAGCACAACTGTTAAATGATCCAACTTGTAATGCAAAAATTAGATTTAGGTAATGGCAAGTTTTATTTTTTATTAGTCAAAAGGTGGCAAGAGAAACAATATAAACATCACCCATTGTTTTACTGAGGTTGCATGTTGATGTTAAATAAATTTTGTGTCACGTTTAAACGGCCTGAATCTACATTTACTTCTACTGGGTACATATTACAGGTTTGGTGGAACAGAATATCCACCCATGATATTATTCAAAGTTTTTATTAAATGTGGAGAGAATGGTGTAAAATACTACAGTGGAAAGAAAATGATTAGAGCGGCTTCAAAGGTAAATTTTTTTTAAGTACAAACATCCAAATTTAAACGTAATAATTTGCTAAATGAGATCATTTAGTGCACCCTTCAGTTCTGGAATCTGGAAAGTGCATCACTTTGCCTCTTCATGGTCATCGTTTTATTTTCGAGATCTGGCTTGATTAATTTACGCTTAAATTACTTTTTTAATTGTCTGTACTAACTGTATAGCATTCTTCAATCACGAGGCATGATATAGCTAAAGGTTTCATTCATAGAAACGAGGCTCCATAGCCAAAGCAATGTATAAAATTAATCACTTTTTTCAGAAAAGAGTATACTTAAAAAATAAAACAGAACTATTTCCATGACAATGAAAGGAAAAATTGTATAATGTTATTCATTTGTCATTCCCATATAAGGTTAACTTTACTTGCTTGTCTGCATCCACGACAGGCGACGTTTATTAATTCTTGTTTGGGAATTTGTTTGGAAAACTTTGAGAATTATGTAGAAAACAAAGTAAAACATATTTTATAATTTCCAAGTTATTAATTTTCATTTTTCTTTTCATAAACTATCATTTGATAAACTTGCAATCCATACACCATGACTTCGATGCAGCTAATTGTTTCATCGTTAATCATGTTTAGGCTGCAGAGGATTCGTGCAAATTGATGGGAAATAGACAATTTTATAACCAAATGATTATTGATGCTTGTCAACAACATCAAGATAAAATTACGAATGAACTCGACATTAACACAATGAAAGATGTTATGCAGGTTAATATTTAACAATTATCACGTTATTTCTTCTTTTTTCTATAAGCTTGAAAGCTTTATATGGATTAGGGGTATTACTTGGGTCATTGCCGATTGGGCTGTTGGGTCATTAAACTGTTGGTAGTTACGTCATTAGGAAATTGGGTCGTCGTGCTGTTGGGGTTTTGGACTGTTGTGCCATTGGACTGTTGGCATTTTTGGACTCTTGAGGGTTTTGCATGGACTGTTGTGCTGTCGTTGTGCTGTTTCGTCTTTGGGGTCGAATTGGATTGTTGGTTTGTTTGTCATTAATATACTCACTTGTTACGTCGTTAGAGACAGTTCATTCGTTGAACTTTTGCGTCGTAAGACTATAGTCTATATGGTTCTGGGAGTATTAGCCTGTTGGACTATAATTGTTGTCTACGTCAGGTTTTTTGGTTCTTTGGACGATTTTGTCCTTGACGTTTCGCGTCAGTACCCAGCTTGCGATATTTTGCACTGAATGCAATAATGCATGGAACGCCATTCCTTCCTTTCAATATCTGTAGTTTCAGAAAAAAGTCGTATGTTTCTCGTAAAATAAGATCTGCAGTACTTATGCAATATTTCTGCAGTATTTGTGCAATCTAGATAATTTCACAAGTTTCGTTAAAAATAAAATCGTAGAATTTCTGCAGTATTTGTGCAATCTAGATAATTTCACAAGTTTCGTAAAATAAAATCGTAGAATTTCTGCAGTATTTGTGCAATCTAGATTATTTCACAAGTTTCGTAAAATAAATTCGTACAATTTCTGCAGTATTTGTGCAATCTAGATTATTTCACAAGTTTCGTAGAATAAAATCGTATAATTTCTGCAGTATTTATACAATCTAGATAATTTCACAAGTTTCGTAAAAGAAAATCGTACTCTCTATTTCTCTAGTATTTAAGCAATTTAGATGAGTGCCCTCCTGAGAATGGTGGGAAATCAAATTGTTGGAGACAGCTAACATTGAGTGGTAAGTGTAAATTAATATTAATTCATTCGTATTTCTGTTTGATGTTGTGTCAAACTTCTTCCAAGTTGTTCTTATCCTCTGTTCTAAACCAGTGGCGTCGTGAAGGCCATTGTTTTTCAGCGTGTAGTTTTAGATTTGTTAATCCGATGAAAAATTGGAGTGGCGGTGGAAAATTATCAGCAGCCAGTGTTGCGTATCTTGTGTGCATCTACTCATAGAATCTACTGAACGTTGTTCTAACATAAAGCTATCCTGTGTAGCGACTCCCAAAAAAATATGTGACTATGTGTCCCACTGAGTTAAATTGTCAAGTATTATGAAATCAATATTTGCCACTATTGAAAGGTGATATATTGAGATATTTCTCCAATTTTCTTCACAAAGCAGGAAATTCCGTTTGTGGATCGTGTGACAATAACTGTTGGTAGATCCTCCCATGCAGAGTACGATAATTCGCGTACTTATATATACATACCCGAGGCACGCCAATATTACGGTCTGGTACTTCTTTGTTTTCAACCAAGTACCACGTAAGTACGCGGAACTCTCGCTGTCTGCGTACTTACATCTTGCTGGTACCTTATGACCTTAGGGGCGGACTATTTGACTTTTGAGGGGGTTGGAAGATTTCGAAAAAAAGGTTACAGGTCATTCATATACTGTACCCTCCCCCCATTTTCGAGTACTCTACTCTATCCCTGCATGTTTTAGGTTTTGGTGCAGTTATACATTCTTTGTAAGTAAACTTGCACGCTTTAGTGTGGGGAACATTAAGACATAACCATATAAAATAAAGCATAGTGAAAATTCCTTGGCCCCTCTTGGGATTCAGTTCTCGGCCTCCTCTGACTGAAAACCCCTGCTACGTCTCTGATGATAGCTATATGAAAGCCTTAAGTTACTGTAAGCCGTTATTATGAGAGGCAAAAAAATTCTGCCGCTAAATATATTGGGAAAAAAAATCTTGCGCTGCACTTTTACAGGAAAAAAATATCTGTCTTGTTCGCCTGGGCGGAAAAAAAATTCTTACACAGACTGAATCTTCCCTCAAAAGTCAAATGGTCCACCACTTACCACGTTAGGCCAAGGTATTCACAACCGTAATTTTAATTAAAATTCAAAAAGTTTAAACGAAATGAAGAATTATTGGAGTGATGGAACTAAGGAATGTTGGAGTTGATTCTAGTGTTTGTGTATGCCATCGTCGTCCTTCTTGTTCTAACTCGTAGTTTTAGGTTACTGAGCGAATACCTTTCAAAGACTAAATACACCTTGATTCTTAAGTTTGCACCACCAGTCAGGTACGACTAAAAATCTTGAATTATCGCACCCTGCTTCCACACGGCTGACGCTACACATGTTTCACCATCTCGTTCTGTTCTCTCGTTTTAGATATTCCACGTCACAATATTGTTCATGATGTCGTCACATACGTAAACAGTGGTAATATCTCAGAAAGACTGGCTCTTGAAACGCCTTTCTTTCCTTCAGCTAAACCAGTCACACAAAAAACGCAGCTCGAGGCGTTCCTGGGCATTGTGAACTCCAGGTAGTGAATCGATATAAACAATATAGATTGAGAAAGTAGTATATTAGGAAAATGCATAGCACCTGCAGGCGTGGAATTCAGGACGGCAATCGCAATGCCGACTTGGGGCCATGTGCATGTCAAGACGGCAAAAAATTGCCGACCTATGACTTTGCGAAGGGAGAAGCAGAAGATGTCGACCTGAGTTTTGACTAATAGACTGATGTTTTGAAATCTCTAAACGTGGTCCAGTATATTAATATGCCGCAGATCCATCATCTCTAGTTTCTCCTTTCGTTACCCATTGTTGTTCCTGAATAACCTATCTCGTACCCAGATGTCTCTCAGAGGCTTTATATTGTGCTTTCTGGACTTCTTAAGACGCTAAAGGGTAATGAGGCGGCGCAAACGCTCCTATGGAAACGCCCTCCACTAGAAAACCTCAGCGGAGGAGATAATCTCGTACCCAAACATGCCCGTTCGCCACCCCTAACCCGAGATTGCGAAGGAGAGAGCCCAAATGCAATTTGACGAACCACAGCAAATGAACGGAAAGGATGCGCTTTGGGGAGTCAGAAGTTCAAGTGCACTGTACTGCTCCCAACAGTTCTTTCGCAATTATATAGCGCCTGGCTGCAAAGCAGCTGAAAACTACTTTCGGGAATATGATATTCGTGTGAAAGATGATTTATTTCAGTGCGATATATTTCGTCGTAAATATCAATTGCGTAACGAGACATGTATCTGCTCGATTTGAAAAGCATTTTTTACTTTTTTGAAACTGTTGATGCTCACCCTCCATCGTAAAACCCCAGACTTGGGCAACATGCACCCATATGTTTTAATAAAGATTATCTAACGAAGTCAGGCGTTCTTAGAAAAAGAAACACTTGCATGTTAAGAATAACTGAAACCTGAGGTGTTCTTTAATTTGTATCGTATATTGCGCTGTCTCGTTTCCTGCTATCCTCGTGTAGAATCATAGCAAGAGCCTGGGAACGAGGTTGATCCTTGTGTAGAGTCATAGCAAGAGCCTGGGAACGAGGTTGATCCTCGTGTAGAGTCATAGCAAGAGCCTGGGAACGAGGTTGATCCTTGTGTAGAGTCATAGCAAGAGCCTGGGAACGAGGTTGATCCTCGTGTAGAGTCATAGCAAGAGCGGTTGTTTACATGATCCTGGTTTGCTGCGACGGGATGGAAGGCGGGATAATTTTGATGTATTGTAATAAATCACCAGGCTTATGCGAAAGTTCAAACGCCGAAATGTTGTAGATAAGATCTCTTAGTTAAAGAAGATTATAAACTCATCACTAGAGAAATAATGTAATTTTGCTGAATCGTACACTGCGACTTATTTCAATACATCAAAATCACCCGACTCACATCTCGTCAACAGCCACTTTAGTTGTCAAATTTTATTTTACAAGATTCGCTGTGCAAACATAAACTTGTACTACCACACCACACAAAATACATACAGGCAGGGGCTCACCAAAAATTCTCCAATAGCAGAGTTACAGTGGAACTGTTACCACATGCTGAAAGACAATACACTCTTTTGATAATTACATCACAACGACACTGTTTTCATCTTAGGACCACCTTAAATGGAAAGGATTTCAAGTTTATTTTCTCATGGGCTATGCACAGAGAAGCAGAACATCCTTCTTCAACACATGCATGAAAAAAAATTTTGGATTTTGATCAATAAAGGCCAATAAATATGGAAATAACCTGATAATCATGACCTGGAGCCTCGTTTTCGTGTTAAAGCTTGTTTCCGCATTTATTGGTCAAATAAAGAATTATTTTTCATGCATGTGTTGAAGAAGGATGTTCTGCTTCTCTCTGCATAGTCCATGAGAAAAAACTTGAAATCCTTTCCATTTAAGGTGGTCCTAAGTTGAAAACAGTGTAGTTGTGATGTAATTTTCGTATTATGACATGTACTAAAAATAAATTTATTCTGTTCTTTCTCCCGTTTGCAGCAATAGTCCGACGAAACGAAAACCTCGTTCTCGTCCGCCACAAACTGGTACAACAGATAAATCAGCAGCACGACGCTCACATCGGGCGAGAAAACGAGTTGAGAAAATGAAGAAGATTTATAGTGCGTCGGCTGACCAGAATGAGCAACAGGTGATTATAGGCTTTGTACTTTAGCAATTTCTTATTTAACCTTGTACTTAATGATTTAAATAAACGCTTTCTGAATATAAAAAAGACAAGCTTCTATAACTGCATATGTAAATTGTCTTTTTAATCCATTAGACTATTTTTGTGTTTTCAAAACTAATTTCACTACTGAAAGCTCAATATTGAAATCCTACTCCCAGTGGTCCAAAACCCATTTTCTCCGTGAAACAAATCAAATCTCAGTTTCCATTTCACCCCTTCACACAGCACTCTCATTTTAACGTCAGACCAAATGGGACGCCCCGTGGTACAAGAATACAACACGTCGCTTAAAGTTAACAAATTTTACTGGCTTCAGGCCGTGTAGTACGACTTTTTATATAATAACGTTAAGAAATCAAGCGCTTTCATTGGTCGAGAGCCATGATCTATTAAAGGACAGATGCACGGAATTACGTCACAATTAAGGTAGCCAATAGCATTCCCTTATTTGTATAAATCATGTACGCGTGATATTTGCAACATTTCGACTTTTTCAATAAAAAGTAAGCTATTTACCTGTTTAATACGCGGGCTAGGGTTTTTCTTTTTATTATATAAAACAAATAGATAAGATTTTTCCGTTGTCTGTTCACTATAAATGCACAGTATGACATCATAATGTGGGAAATGTGTTAAATATATATTTCTTATGCTTTAATAGATTGTGGACAATGATGACGATGAGAATCAAAATAGTGATATGAAGGAAGACAACTCGGACTGGGAAAATGAAGCAGATGAACTGTATGAATGGAGTCAAGATTTAACATTGGACTCTTTGGGTGTAACTACACCTATGTTTTAGAAATTTGTAAAGTATTTTGTAAATATTTTAGGAATTTATACATATGAGTTTATTTAGAATTCAACTACATTTATTTATTAAAATCCATAATGTTGATGATAGTAACAGTTTTAATGGGGGTTTGCAGTTTTGAAACAATTCCCCCGAGGTCACATCTACAACTTCCTTCAAATATTCTTTATTCAAGTACTATTTCAAATATTCTTGAGCGTACCTACAATCCGGACTGCACCCCCCAAAGAATACAGCGTAGGCATGAAATAAGAATACAGCGTTGGCATGAATAAGAAGAATACAGCATAGGCATGTTTCAAACATTTTACTTTAGTTCAGGACCAGATTCGATCTGAATCTGCTTCTTGCAGGCCCACCTATAGGAACTAAGAAATAATCTCAACATTGTAATCAGGTTGTTTGAGGATCCTATAGCAATCCTATAGCTGAAATTTAACAATTTCGACTATCTCCACACAGTCTAAATTACTGCGCAAACAAGCGCCGGGCAAGCGAGGTTCAGTTTCGACGTGAGAGTTGGCAGTCACATATTGTTACGGGGGACATTTCTAAACATATTGTTACGGGGACATTTCAACGACGATTCCATTGGTATACTCCAATGATTACCGGCGCGTGCTTGAGCATCAACAAACTAGACACAAATTTAAGATTCAAACCTTTCACCAGACCCTAATAATGGCGTGCAGTACCTCCGGTAAGTAAGTAAGTAGTAAACCGCCTGCCACACACGCTAGTAAGTAAGTAAGTGAATTATCGCAGGATTGTACCCTGCGATTCGTAAATCAACGCGCGTTGCCGAACCAGTCAAAAATGGTCCCGTGTAACATCGTAGTTTTGTAATGACACGCGAAAAGTTGGAGGCCGGATAGACAGGATGCTACCTGATAGTAATGGATACCCGTGAACCATGTTAAAAACTGTCCCAGTGTAGCTAGTGCTAGACTACGAACCTGTGGAAAGGAGGGACCGCTCGTAGTCTAGTACTACCAATAATAACAAGTTTTCTTTGGCAGGGATGCAACTACCTGAAAAATGCGGCGACATTCGACATTTCGAGCGAAGACCCTTCATCGTAACTTCCGGACGGTGTATCTCGTGTTAAAAAAACATACAGTTGTCACAGCCTAGACCTAGGCCTTCTAGTCTTATTTATATTTTTTAGTATTTAGCGGTTTTTCACATGAAAAGACTGGGACTAGGTGATTTGGGGGCGTGGCGAAGGAAGCAAGCCTAGAAGGCCTAGTTGATTTCCCAACAACAAGGCCAAAACTGCCCTGGAACTGCCCTGGTTGCGAAATGCCCAATTATTGCGTTCTCAAACAGAATTATTTGCAACTTAACGGCGAATTTAAACCGATACAGGTAAAATAAACTCATTTATAGTATAAACTTACTATTTTTATTTGTATACACGTCTAGAAAATCGGTTTTTATGATAAAGTTCGAAGCAACACTATTATTTAATATGTTGACAAGGTGTAGCGAAAGAACAAAATGAGTCAAAATATATACCAAAAGTAGAATCTTTCATGAAATGTTGTCTTATACACAAGTACATTAATATATATTTTCTCAATTTTGGCAAGAAGCAGTCTTGTGTTTGTAAAATATACAAAATAAAACGGATACATATATTATTAGCCCGTACAGTACAGTACTGTATATAAAAACGTACATTGTTTATACAAATGGTATATCTGTAATATTTGAACACTAATTTCAAATTCCTCATTCCCAATTCGCAAATATAGTTATTCAAAGCAAAACAGTAGATTGTCTTGCGAATAAAAGAATTATTATTTTGTGCCGTTTCGCTACACCTTATCAACATATATAAATAGTGTTGTTTCAAACTTTATGATAAAAACCCCGATTTTCTAGACGTGTATACAAATAAAAATAGTAAGTTTATACTATAAATGAGTTTATTTTACCTGTATCGGTTTAAATTCGCTGTTAAGTTGCAAATAATTCTGTTTGAGAACGCAACAATTGGGCATTTCGCAACCAGGGCAGTTTCAGGGCAGTTTTGGCCTTGTTGTTGGGAAATCCACTAAGCCTTCTATATTTTCGCTCGCGTCCAATCTCGTTCCCCGAGCCTGCGATCCTCGGGAAGGAACCGAAGGCTCTGGGATAATCCGTTTCAGGGAGGAATCTGATTGGCCATTGATATGGAATGCGTAGTTCAATCTTAGCCATGATTCTTGGCTTCCGGTGTCACAGTGATATGAGTATACCCGTGTTTTGTGTATCCCCACACTAATATCCCTAGGGATAAAAGTACCCCCAGTGGGGATACCTACAACACTAGAAGCGAAAGGACGCAATATTAAGTATTTACGTTTTTACAGTTATTAAATGCTGCAGTAAATGTGTATAATGTGATTGTGCTTATGTTGTAAGATAGCATGTTCGCGTCGCATAAATTGGTGTAGAACATAGTGTAGAATTACTCTTAACATTAACTCATATGGCTCCGTATTACTTGATTTCCGACGTATATGACAGGAAGTTTAAATATTACAGAACTCCGCGAGTATTTGCAGTAGAAATACGAAAGTACCACAAAAAATCCGCTTGAAACATTCTATGAAATCGAACAATGTAAAATAGCCATAAATTGTAAACTAGGCATACTTGAACAATGTAAACTAACCATACCATACTATAGACAATAAACTCGAAGAATGTAAACAATGCATCACTAAGCCATACCTTTCGCCGAATATAACTCGGCCCCTTTCAACATATCTTTTTGGTATTAGTCTTGTTCGAAACACAATCCAACACACTATTTAGAGTGTTATTTTCAAGCTTGTATGTGCCGTTCTGCATGTTTTATTTCCCGCGAAATGTTAGGGATACTTGTATCCCTAGTGATGTGGGAATGTAGAGTGGTTCTTTAAGGATACGCAGAACACGACCGCCATATTGCCGGGGATACACATATCCCTAGTGAGGTGAGCATGGGGATACACATATCCCTAGTGATATAAGTAGGGGATACACAAAACACGGGGATACTCATATCACTGTGACACCGGTAACGGATTATCCCAGAGCCTTCGATTCCTTCCCGAGGATCGCAGGCTCGGGGAACGAGATTGGCTTGCGTCCAATCTCGTTCCCCGAGCCTGCGATCCTTGGGAAGGAACCACTGAGCTATAATATATCTGGAGGAAGTGCTCGGCATGAAAGAGTGTCGCCAAAAACATGGCGGATTTTCACGTCTGCTGACGCCAGAATGACGCCACTGGTCCCAAATCCTCGTGGTAATTACCACTGACCAACCGCGATCCTCGGCTTCAGACGACGATTTCACCCCCCTGGTTTTTGCACAAAAAGCTGAAACTCTGCTGAATGTTTATATAAAAAACATCAAGAAAAAATGCAGAGTTTTTGCATGGCTTCGTGATGCCACAATTCTTTAACATCAAGAAGAAACACTTCTTTTTACCGGTAAGATGCATTAAACTCTTTTTCTGTGCTTCATTTGTACTAAATACCGTTTTTTAAAAGAAAACTGAATTGGATACGAAATTTACATATATTAAACGACGCTGTACAGCAGCTGGTGTTTTTCTGGCTTTATCACTTTTCTTTGTGTTTTATTTTGCCATTTGGGCAGGTAATAGTTTTTGTTTTCCTCTGGAGTCCTTACCCAAAGATCCAAGTATCCAACATCAATTTTCACATACAGTATTGTAACAGAAATGCCTTAAAATGATGGACAAGTGTCAAGTCCAAATGGTGTCAATAGTTCCAACTTATCCTAGGGTTTTAATATATTGTCATAGGAGGCCCAACATATGGTTGTATAAATGGGCAAAAAAAGATAAAAACTGTTCCTAACAAGGATCTCTGTAGTGTCTCTGTCTCTCAAGTGTTGAATAAAAGCTTGCAAGGCTCATACTACAATTTTGAGTTGTGATTTTAATAGACAATTTTAATCTCTTTTCATGGCTATTAAACATAGGAGGCCAAATAGATAGTTGTACAAGTAAAGTTTATAGTTCTGAACTTAAAAAGGCCAGCAAATAGACATGAACTTTTCTTGACGAATATGTGGGGTTGACTATTTCACAAATCACAACACTCTAACTTCTATGACTATGTCTGAAATGACATATTTTAATATTTGAAAGGAAAAAATAATATAATGTTCAATAGCATAATAATGGTGTAGCATAAGCATGTAGATCAAATTATATTAATTTAGACAATATAGTACATGACTGATTGGATGTATTCTATTACACCTTTCTAGATGCCAAGAAAAATCCTGAGATGTGTTGAAAACTTGAAGAATGCCCTGGTTAAATTTTATGCCACAAAGGGGAATCACCTTTGTTCAAAGCAATTAGTATAATATTCCACTTAACCCATTGAGTGGCAGCACTCTCCACTTGACAAGTAAAATCGTCTGGTGTTAGACAGAGTAAAATACTAAAGTAGGGTGCATCAGGGCACTTGCCACTTAATTAAGGGGTTAACTCATTCAGCATTCTCCCCTTCACAAATAAAATGGTCTGCCATTAGACAGAATAATAATAAAGTAGGGTGCATTGGGTTGCATTGCATCTTACCAAAGGCTTAACAGGATGCATAGCCACAAGGCATATACTGGTCAGCCCATAGAGTGCCAGAGCTCTGCCCTTGCATTGACAAGTATATTCGTCTGGCATTTGACAGGAAAATTATATGGTGCATTGCCACTGATCAAAAGGGATAAGGGAGGACTACAGCAACTCTCTTGTTCTCTCAAGGGGGGGGGGGGGGGGGGGG